TTGATGATTTATTATTGATTTATGATGAAATCCCCCCCCCCCAAGAACTCATGAATCCCCATATTACTAAATTGTGATTCCATGATGTGGGTTGGTTGATTATGGAAGCATGTGAATAGATTATGTCTATATTGATTGAGTTTATTGAATCATGATATTCTCCCTCCATATATATTGTAGAAATTCTAGATGTTTGGGTTGAATGTGATTCATGGTCCTTGAAGGGCAAATTATGAGGGTTTGTACATGTTTATGAGAATTGTGTATAAGCTTTTGATTCGCTTAGAGAGTGAAGATCTTATGACTATGGTGTAATTGTGGTATTGTTGAAAGATCATTTTCCCCATACCCTTACACATGACTATGCATGAAATGTCTATGAAGATGATAATGTTGTTGTATTGATTGAAAGGTTATTCTCATCAACACACTATGAACATGACTCACGTACTAATGATTCTAAGGTTGAAAGGCTATTCTCACCTATCGAATCTATGAGCTATCATGATACCATGTTGGTTTGAGTGCTAGGACATTCTTTCATGAACATGAACTTAAGTAAAGACTTAACATGAACTTAAAGGGAAATATGTTTAGCATCGAATGGATATGAATATGAGATGGAAGCTTTTACGCCAGCAGTCCGGCTTCCCAATGGATTCCTTTTACGCCAGCAGTCCGGGTTCCCAAAACAGTTATCTCATGAGATAGAAACCTTTTACGCCAGAAGTTTGGGTTTCTAGTAACAATCTACCAATCCCGTAACTATGTGCCCACATAGGTCTTTAGCTATTTGATCCACCTAAGCTAACAAAATAGTTCTACCTTAGGCAAGTAAGACACCTCTTTCGGTGTAAGGGCATGGCACCGGATTCCATGTAGCTCACATGGTCTATGTCGGTTAAGGCTATTTCCCTACATGAAAAGAATATGAACTATGATATGAATATACATGAACTATACTTATGACTTCTCAAAGAGCTTTACTTAGTGTGAGTAGGGGTATGGGACTTCACTTATGCATTGCACAAGTAGACTTTGAAAGGGGTTAGTGTGGTTTCCTTATGCTATGAAGATATACGAATTTATGTATGTATGATATGGATTGTTGCTAAGAGTGACTTTACTTGCTACAAGCTATGGATATGAATGTTTCCTTGTCTATGGGTGTTTGTTATGGGTACGGTCAAGGTATGATATGCATGATTACGGTGGCCTAAAAGTGGTACTTAGTATTAGATAGGATTATGAGATCTTGTCTATGCATTGCACAAGTATAGCTTAGGGTTGCTTATGAAATGGTTTGACTTATGTATTTACACTATCGTGCATAATAATTCTTAAAGTTGATAAAGAGCATGGTTTCAACTAAATTTTCCCTTTTGGCATGTTTTAAGGATTTTATGCATGTCTTCCATACTTAGTGCAATTTTGTGCTAACCCATATTTTCCACATTTTCTATAAGTGTAGGGCCCGATTGTTGAGGTGTGCTTCCTTCTTGATCAAGCTTGGATTGACTATTCTTCACGCTTTCAGTGAGTCCTCATGGTTCGAGGACAAGAGTCGTTCATTTCTAGTTTGTTTCTTACATTCTCTTTTGAGACTATGTTGTAAAGGGTTGTGACCCTTATTGATACTCGATTGTATTAGATGGTTATTGAAACAATGTCTAGACTTCCTTTGATTTTATGAAAAGACTTCGATTGTAAAAATTTTAAATTCCGCATAATTTCTATTTATCTTATGTCATGATATGCTAAGGGCTTGTATGAGACCCCTTTGGGGTCAAGTACGTCGTGTTATATCTAGAAGGTACCCCTAGGTCGTGACATTATTATACCTTATATCTCACACAAAACAAACACTTAATTTTATCTTAGTTTTACTAATATCATAGGGTTTTTCTTTGTTATAATTTATTTTAATCTAACAATTAAATATTCTTACATTTGTATTATTCTAACAAGATGATAATATCGATAACGTGAGAATATTTATGATTTTGAATAATTTTTTAAAAATAAATTAATTAAATCATGCTAAAAAATTAATATTGTCAAATTTAGACAATGAACTAAGCTTATATATTAATTTATTTACATAAATATTCTATGATAATATATCAAGGTGTTAAATTTAACATTCTCTCAAATAAACTTTACAATATTATCATATAATAAGTTAAATTTTGAAATTGTCAGTATTCAGTATTTACGATTACATTTATTAACTAACCAAGCAACGAGTAGGTACGTAAACTAGTTACCTTTAACGGAATATTTCTATAGCTTTTTTGTCAAATGAGAGGGACTCAATATGAGTAAAATGTTCATAATGTCATTAAATATTTGTCAAATAAGAAAATGTGTCATTTTTTATTGAATTGATTAGAAAAAAAGTGAGTCATATAAATTGAAACACATGGAGCAATAATACTTTGTGCATTTAATAATTCCTCATTTCTTTTTTTGAAAGAAGTATTGAAAACACCCTTAAACTCTATACAAATGTCACGACACGATTTCTCGTGCGCAAGTCCAAATAAAACCTGAACGAACCCCCATAAGCACGACAGGTACACAAAATAGCTAAGTCTATTGAGAAAGAAGAAAATCGATCTCCCAGACCAAAGTAACCAATATAATCCATCAGACTCCACCCAGCCAGCAGTGCACTCCCAGCCCAGCTAGAAAGAGTGACCCTAGGGGGCACCCAACCAAACAGTCCACTCCCAGCCCAGCTAGAAAGAAAGGCCCAGGGACGATCGCCGAAATCACCGAGTCTACCCAGCCAGCGATACGCTCCCAACCCAGCTAGAAAGAACAACCCCGGGGTGATGGTATCTCTAATAGGATCCAATCCAACAACAGCCACTGTGGAATGTCGTCCACTCTAAGAAATCACCGAAAAGGCTCCAAGCCTATACTATCTCAATCTCACACCTTTAGTGATGCACTGAACCTTCGAGAACGCGTTGGAACCGCGGAAATAGACGAAGAAGATACAGAAGTGCAGCAAGCAGCGATAGTACCTAATCTAAAGCTCGAACTATCAAACTCAAGTCTGATACTCCAGTCTACAGGGAGCTAAGTCATCTGAACTACGTCAGCAGAAAGTCAAGGCTATCCAGCCCATACGAGTCATAAGTTTAAGGCAATGCTAGCCTAACCTAGAATAAGGACATCATGCTTACGGTTAAGGATGAACAAAGCATACAACACATACCATACAAACATACAATAGCATTTAGCACATAAGCATACAACTCTACTAAACCGGTTAACATGGTACTACACCCGAATTATGGCCAATCGATCCTAACATAAGGTATCTAATCAAAGTAAAGTAGGAAACTGGTACCCACCCCTAATTCACTCCAATTGACATGTTTTTCACGATTAAGCTCAACATAATAGAAAAGAAGCCATAGCCTACCTTAAGGCCGACAGTTCGCGCTCTAAATCACTTTGTCAGAGCTTTTCCTTCCCGAACGACCTTTGAACGTTGTCACTCTATTAAATATAGGATCACAACATTAGGATAGTTGTTTAGACACCAAAATCACAGCAAAACAGAGACGGGTCAATTTTGGAGTCAAAACGGGAATCGTGGGACCCGCACCGAACAGTTCGAATTTCACTCCGTCAAGAGACCCTAAACAGTACCCCTAACTTGTGTTCCAAAATGGCACACAATTCGTGGCTCAAAACGCAGCAAAACCCAACATGCAAGGAAAATCACATTTTAATCAACTTAAAAGAAAATATGTAGCAGTCTAAACTTGAAATTTACGAGAGTCGAAAGGTGCCCAGCATTCCTTGAACACTCTACGACGTATCCACGATAATTCCCAATACGTGGGACTTCGAATCACCCAAAGCCAAGCTAAAATGAGTGAGATATGACTAAAACAAGAATGTCAAAAACAAAAGCTCAAAAAATACCATCGAAAATACGAAGCTCCCGCACTCCGAATCTCTTAATTCGGTTGAGAGATGAGAGAGTTATAAGGTTTTTAAGTTTGGAAAAGGGTTGTTGATTTTTCTGCATTTTTTTTCGAAAACTTAAAAACTTCGACAGGGTGCTTCGAACTCGTTCGGAACCCCGTGCACGCAAACGAGATATGCAACCATACCAAATTTGATATTCCTGACTCAATGGCACAGTAAAAATTTCCATACGAGGTCATCTTGACAAAAAGAGAGTCCCACACCCAACCGTCATTTTAAGTCAAAAACCACAAAAGAGCTCGGAAAAATATCAAAAACCTCAGACACAAAAAAAGGGTCAATATCGACCAAACTCGACATTCCAGAGCTAACTGCGCTGACGGAATTCTCATTCGAGCGCGTTTACTTAGAATGTTGACTAAAGTCAAACTTAGGTTTAAACTAAAGTTAAAACACTTAATCGCACCGACACACACTGAAAACCTTGGAAGTCATGTCGATCATGCTACTAGCCTAGAATGACCCTTTCGGAGCTGATGGAATAGTCAGAATTGGATTCCGATGTCATATTCTTGAACTTTTGATCGAAAATGATCGTTCAAGGTTCATAAGCTCCAAAACACAAAAACTCGCACCAAGACCAAACGAACGACCAGGTGACCGAACTGTCAGTCCCAGCAAGTTATAAATGACTTGGGGTCGCTATAGGAACGCTCTAAACGACACACAGAAGGCAAGACACAGAAATAACCATGAGGGCCATTACAATATCCACTACTAAAAAGGACTTTCGTCCACGAAAGAAAGGATCAAGAAGTACCTGAAGGCTCAAACAAGCTGGGAAACTTCTCTCGCATCTCCTGCTCGGTCTCCCAGGTAGCCTCCTCGACTGGACGATGCCTCCAACGAACCTTAACAACAGGAATGGCTGTCGAGCGCAATCTCCTCACATCTCTGGCTAGAATGGCAACTGGCTCCTCTACAAATGTCAAACGATCATCCAACTCGACTGCATCATACTGGAGCACATGGGACTCATCAGGAACATATCGCCGCAGCATCGAAACATGAAACACTGGGCGGATGGCTGAAAATACTGGAGGTAGGGCCAACTCATAAGCAACCTCTCCAACTGTCCGAAGTATCTCAAAAGGCCCAATGTACCTGGGGCTAAGCTTGCCCCGCCTCCCAAACCCTATCACGCCCTTCATGGGCGACACACGGAGGAATACCCGGTCACCAACAGAGAATCTCAAAGGTCGATGCCTCTGATCCGCATAACTCTGGTGCCTACTCTGAGCCGTCCTGAGCCTATCCTGAATCACCCTCACCTGATCCAGGGCCTCCTGAGCAAAATACAGAAATGACTAGAAGGGTCATTACAATATCCACTACTAAAAGGGACTTTCGTCCTTGAAAGTAAGGGTCAAGAAGTACCTGAAGGCTCAAACAAGCTACGAAACTGCTCTCGCATATCTTGCTCGGTCTCCCAGGTAGCTTTCTCGACTGGACGATCCCTCCAATGGACGTTAACAACAGGAATGGCTCTCGAGCGCAATCTCCTCACATCTCTGGCAAAAATAGCAACTGGCTACTCTACAAATGTCAAACGGTCATCCAACTCAACTGCATCATACTGGAGCATATGGGACTCATCAGGAACATACCAGCACAACATCGAGACATGGAAAATCGGGTGGATGGCTAAAAATACTGGAGGTAGGGCCAACTCATAAGCAACCTCCCCAACTGTCCGGAGTATCTCAAAAGGCCCAATGTACCTGGGGCTAAGCTTGCCCCGCCTCCCAAACCTCATCACGCCCTTCATGGGCGACACACGGAGGAATACCCGATCACTAATAGAGAATCTCAAAGGTCGACGCCTTCGATCCGCATAACTCTGGTGCCTACTCTGAGCCGTCCTGAGTCTATCCTGAATCACTCTCACCTGGTCCAAAGCCTCCTGAATCAAATCTGTACCCTGCGGCCTAGGCTCTGTAGACTCAAACCAGCCCACCGGAGAGCGACAACGCCTACCATACAAGGCCTCGAACAAGGCCATCTGAATGCTAGAATGGTAGATGTTGTTATACGCAAACTCCGCCAAAGGCAAGAAGTGGTCCCAATGACTACCAAACTCCAAAACACAAGCCTACATCATGTCCTCAAGGACCTGAATAATATGGTCTGACTAACCATCAGTCTGCGGGTGGAAAGTTGTGCTAAGGTCAACTCGGGTGCCCAATTCATCCTGAAAGGTCCTCCAAAAGCTAGATGTGAATTGAGAACCCCGATATGATATAATAGAAATTGGCATCCCATGAAGTCGAACCACCTCCCGAATGTAGATACGAGCCAACCTCTCAGCACTAAATGAAGACTGAACAAGAAGGAAATGTGTTGACTTGGTCAATCGATCAACGAAGACCCAAATGCTATCAACACCTCTAGAAGTCCGCGGTAGGCCAGCCACAAAATCTATAGTAATGCAATCCCACTTCCACTCCAGAATGGGTAATCTCTGAAACTCACCACCAGGCCTCAAATGATTGGCCTTTACCTGTTGGCAGCATAAGCAACGGAAAACAAAGTCAACAATATCTCTTCTCATGCCACTCCACCAGTAATGCTGCCTCAAATCACGATACATCTTCGTTGTTCCCGGATGGATAAAGTATCTAGACTCATGGCCCTCAGAAAGTATCAACTGTATCAAATCCCCAACTCTTGGAACATAGATGCGGCCGGCGAATCTCAACACTCCATCAGGATCTAAGGTAGCCTGACCACCATCACCCGCTAACACTCGATCTCTAAGGGACACCAATGCCTCATCCTCAAATTGACAACCACAGATCCTATCAAGCAAAGAAGATTGAACTCCCATATAGGCCAAGACGCGTCTAGAATCTGAGATATCCAACCGAACCATGCTATTGGCTAAGAATTGAATGTCCAAAGCCAATAATCGCTCCTCAACATATAAGAAGGCTAGACTACCCATACTCACCGCCTTCCGGCTCAAGGCATCTACTACCACATTCGGCTTACCCGGATGATAGAGAATAGAGAAGTCGTAGTCCTTTAGGAGCTCAATCCAACGACGCTGCCTCGAATTAAGGTCCATCTAGCTCATGATGTACTAAAGACTCCTATGATCGGTATAGATCTCACATCAAACTCCATACAAGTAGTGCCTCCAAATCTTAAGCGCAAAAACTACCGCCGCCAACTCCAAGTCATGGGTGGGGTAATTGCGCTCATGGATCTTAAGCTGCCTCGACGCATAAGCAATAACCCAGACCTACTGTATCAATACACAACACAAACCAACGTCGGATGCGTCACAAAAAACCGTGAAGCCATCGCTCTCAACTGGAAGAGTCAATATAGGAGCGGTGGTCAATAACTCATTGAGCCTCAAAAAGCTCGCCTCACACTCCTCTGACCAAACAAAGGGAACATCAACACGAGTCAATCGGGTCAGAGGTGCTGCCAAGCTAGAAAAACCCTCCACAAACTGTCTGTAGTAGCCTGCTAGTCCGACGAAGCTTCGAATCTCAGTAACTGAGGTGGGCCTAGCCCAATCACAAATAGCCTCAATCTTCGCCGAATCTACCATAATGCCCTCCTTGGACACAACATGCCCCAAGAACGCTACAGAGTCTAACCAAAACTGACACTTTGAGAACTTGGCATAAAGTTGTTGATCTCTCAAAGTCTGGAGCACAACTCTCAAATGCTGCTCATGATCACCCTTACTCCGCGAGTATATCAAAATGTCATCAATGAAGACTATGACGAAGGAATCAAGATAAGGCCTGAACACGTGCATCATCAAGTCCATAAAGGCAACATGGGGCATTAGTCAACCCAAATGACATCACCAAGAACTCATAATGGCCATACCGGGTCATAAATGCAGTCTTAGGGATGTCCGCTGCCCTAATCCTCAATTGGTGGTAACCAGACCTCAAATCAATCTTAGAGAACACTAAAGCTCCATGTAGCTGGTCAAATAGGTCATCAATCCTAGGTAGAGGATATCGATTCTTCACTGTCACCTTATTCAACTGCCTATAGTCAATGCACATGCGCATCGTACCATCCTTTTTCTTAACGAAAAGAACGGGAGCGCCCCAAGGTGATACACTAGGTCTGATAAATCCCTTACCCAAGAGATCCTGAAGCTGAACACTGAGCTCATTAAGCTCTGCAGGAGCCATCCGATATGGCGAAATAGAAATAGTCTGAGTACCAGGCTCAAGCTCAATCGAAAAATCAATATCACGCTCTGGGTAGGCCAGGTAGGTCGACAGGAAACACATCTAAGAAGTCACGAACAACGGGAACTGACTCAACTGGAGGGACCTCCTTATTCACAGCACGCACATAGACCAAATATGATAAGCATATGCTAGTCACTAGCCTCCTAGCTCGAATAAAAGAGATAACCCCAACTGGTGTGCTACCACGAGATCCCTGCCACACCACCGGAGGAATACCAGGAATGGCTAAGGTAACGGTATTAGAGAAGCAATCTAAAACAGCGTAATAAGGGGATAACTAGTCCATGCCCAGAATCACATCGAAATCAACCATGTCAAGCAATATAAGGTCAGCCCGGGTGTCACTCCCCTCGATAGTAACTAAGCAAGATCGAAATACCTGATCAACTACTAAAGAATCACTCACGGGGGTCGACACACGCAATGGCGCTACCAGAGGCTCAGAAATCATACTCAAGCGAGAGGCATAGTAAACAGAAACATACGAAAAAGTAGAGCCCGGATCGATTAAAGCCAAGGCGAGCTGCTGGCATAAAAGTGAGACCGATGAACCTGGCTCTAATACCAACTTGTCACGACCCGATTTCTTGAGTCATGATGGCACCTACTATATCGTACCAGTAGGTAAGCCAACCCATATCCAAGAACATCAAGTAATGAGCGTAAGGGTACAGACTAGCGAAAACAATAATCTAAACAAGGACAACAAGGCGGAAACAAACCAAAAAAAATATATACAGAAATCCCTCCCAGAACCTGGAAGTCACTAGTACAGAGCTATCTAATAAAGAGTACAAGTCCCAAAAGTGGACCACACAAAGCGTGTCTCAAAAGCAACAAGACTAGCTAAACGAAAATAAGGAGACGGAACAAACCCAAAACACCAAGTGCTCGCCCTCGTCTCCGAGTCATAGCTGCAAAAGTAGGCTGGAACTAATCACCGCTAGTAACTGGTATTGGGACCTGCATCACGAAATAGATGTAGAATGTAGCATGAGTACTAAAACAACAGGTACTCAATAGGCATCAAAGGCCGATTGAGCAAAAAGGATAAAAACAATAAGAAAGGATAGAATCTAGACACAGACAGATCAAAGTGGATATGAAAAGAAAGCATACGAGCATACCAGAAATAAACTAAGTACAACTAAATTAAACCTAACTGGACCCCCAAAAGCCCAGAAGGTACACTCATGCACAAGTTCAAATAAAACCTGAACGAATCCTCATAAGCCCGATAGGTACACAGAATAGCTAAGTCTATTGAGAAAGAAGAAACTGGGCTCCCAGCCCAAAGTAACCAAGATAATCCATCAGACTCCACCCAGCCAGTAGTGCACTCCCAGCCCAGCTAGAAAGAGTGACCCTAGGGGGCACCCAACCAAACAGTCTACTCCCATCCTAGCTAGAAAGAGGGACCCGTGAGTGAGGTAGATATCGCGAGTCGTCCTACCATGCAGTCAGCTCCCAGCCCAGCTAGAAAGAGCGACCCGGGGACACCCAGTCATCAGCACACTCCAAGCCCAGCTAGAAAGAGAGGCCCGGGGACGATCGCCAAAATCACTGAGTCTACCCAGCCAGCGATACGCTCCCAGCCCAGCTAGAAAACGACCCCGGGGGAGATGGTATCTCCAATAGGATCCAATCCAACAACAGCCACTATGGAATGCCGTCCACTCTAACAAATCACCAAAAAGGCTCCAAGCTTATACTATCTCAATCTCACACCTTTAGTGATGCACTGAACCTTCGAGAACGCGTCGAAACCGCGGAAAGTAGGAAACTGGTACCCACCCCCAATTCACTCAAATCGACATGTTTTTACCCGATTAAGCTCAATATAATAGAAAGGAAGCCATAGCCTACCTTAAGGACGATCGCTCGCGCTCCAAATCACTTTGCCGGATATTTTCCTTCCCGAATGACCTTTAAACGATGTCACTCTATCAAATATAGGATCACAACGTTAGTACAGTCATTTAGACACCAAAATCACAACAATCAGAGATAGGTCAATTTAGGAGTCAAAATGGGAATCGTGGGACCCACAACGAACTGTTCGAATTTGACTCCGTCAAGAGACCCTAAACAGTACCCTGAACTTATGTTCCAAAATGGAACACAATTTGAGGCTCAAAATGCAGCAAAACCCAACATGCAAGGAAAATCACATTTTAATCAACTTAAAAGAAAACATGTAGCAGTCTAAACTCGGAATTTACGAGAATCGAAAGGTGCCCAGCACTCTTTGAACACTCTACAACGTAGCCACAATAATTCTCAACACGTGGGACTTCGAATCACCCAAAACCAAGCTAAAATGAGTGAGATATGACTAAAACAAGAATGCCAAAAACAAAAGCTCGGAAAACGGTTACAACAGTCAGGTTTATCGCTAAATTTACCTCGAACAATGCGCACCCGACAACTTCTGAATACTCTACAGTGAAGCCACCGAAAATACGAAGCTCCCGCACTTTGAATCGCTTAATTCAGTTGAGAGATAAGAGAGTTATAAGGTTTTTAAGTTTGGAAAAGGGTTGTTGATATTTCTACATTTTATAACAGATTTTTCTGCATTTTTTTTTTCGAAACCTTAAAAACTTCGACGGGGTGCTCTGAACTCCTTCGGAACCCCGTGCACGCAAATGAGATATGCAACCATACCAAATTCGATATTTCGGACTCAATGGCACAGTCAAAATTTTCATACGAGATCATCTTGAAAAAAAGTGGGTCCCACACCCAACCGCCATTTTAAGTCAAAAAACCA